TTCTCTTCTCTTCTCTTCTCTTCTCTTCTCTTCTCTTCTCTTCTCTTCTCTTCTCTTCTCTTCTCTTCTCTTCTCTTCTCTCTATCTCTTCTCTATAACGAGGATATATTTATATCCTCGTTTCCTCCTTGTTCTTTCCCTTGTGAGTTGGGAACACCATCCTCACAATGAGCAAGGTCTTGTGGATATTTCATGTGCAATGTTCCTTGTGCTGCTGCTGGAGCCAGGCTGTTTCACCTGCAGCCCTGCAGACACTCTGTGGTCAGCAAGGTTAGGAAGCACCAAAATTCAGGCCTCTGGCTCAGTGCTGGTGCCTTGTTTGCTTGGGAATACACATGGACACATCAAGGGTTGTTTCCTCTGCCTCCCATCCATCCCATGTGTGCCCAGCTCAGGGCTGCTCCTGCTGCAGTTCTTGTGTTACACAGCCAGTAAATTAGCACCTTGTTTTGCAAGCCTGATTAAAATAATAGCTGAGGCTGTGTTTGAAGCTGTCGAGAAGGCAGGGAGGGTGTCTCTGCCCAGGCTCTGTGTCCTGCCTGCCTGCAGGGGGATCAGTCACCTGGCAGAGTCACCTTCTCCCTGCTGGCACAAAGGCATCACCACCAGAAACACCCTGGGCAGAGGCAGAGAGCCTCCAAAACACGAGTCTGTGCTGCTGAGGCAGAAATCCAACTCACACCAAAGCACCGCCGTGTGAACCACCACCCCATGCTACCTCATTAATGGATTTGCATTTCTCTCCCATCTGTTTGTCCCAGCAGAGATTTCCTTTCACCCTGAGAGCAGCCAAGGTAACAGAAGTGCTTTGTTGTGCTTTGTGTTTTCTCAGGGATCCACCAACGTGGTTTACCAAGCCCACCATGTCAGCAGGAGTAAGAGAGGACAAGTGGTCGGCACCAGGGGAGGATTCCGAGGCTGCACAGTCTGGCTCACAGGTATTTCTGTCAGGCTGTGAAATGCAAGCCTGGCCTCACCTGTGCAACTCCACGAGTGTGGCTGCCAGGTGGGGATTTGGGATCTGCAGGAAACGTCAGCGCTCCCTGCGAGCCGCGAATTGCAAAACATCCCCACGTGGGAAAGGCAGCCACGCGGTGCTGGCGCAGCAAGATGTTCTCCCTGGCAGCTGCTGCCCAGAATGAATGTTTTTATGGATTTCCCAGCTGCTCTCAGGCTCCTTTGAACATGTCAGAGGCCCTCAGGGTAGCACTTGTTGTTCCCAAGTGTGTAGCTGAGGAAGCCTTGGCTCCCATCCAGCCAGTGTTCGGCAGTGGAACGTAGCCGGGGTTGCGCGACACGCGGATGTTTTCATTCAGGAGCGGTGGGAAGTTCACTGGGACATGCAGGTCTGCTGGGTTTGAGGCAGCACGAGGCAGTCACCTTGTCTGGAGAATAAACACTCCCAGCCACAGAGTCACACTGGAAGCAATCCCTTACATTTGTTTTGTTGCCCTTCTCGTCTGTCTTGAAGTATAAACTCGTTGTCTGGGGATTAGGGGCTGTCAGAAAGGACAATTGCATTTCTCATTTCTAATATTTAGACAAGTCTGTCTTTTGCCAGTTGTCCAGTTGTTCCTTTGCTTGTTAAATATTGGCATTTTCTTTGGCTGCTGGAGGATGTTGAAGGACATGCTTGGAAGGATTTGTAAAGCCATTCTGATTTGCCTTCCTGTCACCTTAGTTTGTAGATGCTGGATTAAAGCACATTTCTATTCCGTTCTCCTCCTCAATTCTGAAGTGCCCAATCTGCTTTTATATAGTTTCTGAAGCCAAAAGCTCAACCCAAGGCAATTTCCTTCCTTTTTTGAGTATTACTCAAAAACTTGTGTCTGAAAGGTTTGAGCTACCTGGCTGATGGTTATTCTTTGAAATACACACCTGGAGAAGGAGGTGATGGGGGCCCTTTGTTGCCAGAGCCTGTCCCACTCCACATGGTTGCAGCAAGAGCCTCTCCTTGGGTTCAGAATGGGAGAGCAGCTGGCTCTTGACAGTAGGAGCAAGGGGAGGAGGAGGAAGATGAGGAGGGACCTGGAGGAAGCAGCATCCTTTCAAACCTCCCCTGTTTCCTGGAACCAGCATGGCCCAGCAGGACACACTGCTGGGTTAGACCCCTCCAGAGGTTGGGCTGTAGATGCTTTTCTCAGGGCATTAATGCCACCCCTCCAATAATAAGGGTTGAAAAGGTGAAGGTTCATCTTTGAAGGTTCATCCTTCATCTGTGAAGGATGAATCCAGCTTCCTTTAGGAAGGAATGAGGTAGGGAGCTTCAGACAGAAGGAGTTTGGCCGTCGGTGTCACTCATTTTCACTCTCTTGACCTCAAACCTGACCCCTCACTCTTCTGCCTCCCTCAGGCCTTTCTGGAGCTGGCAAGACAACCATTGGCTTTGCTCTGGAGGAGTACCTGGTGGCTCATGGCATCCCCTGCTACTCCCTGGATGGTGACAACGTGAGGCACGGCTTGAACAAGAACCTGGGCTTCTCGGCCCAGGACCGCGAGGAGAACATCCGGCGCATCGCCGAGGTGGCGCGGCTCTTCGCCGACGCGGGGCTCGTCTGCATCACCAGCTTCATCTCCCCCTTCACCAAGGTAAGGCTGTGGAGATCCCAGGCCTCCTGCTCTATCCTCAGCTTCACCTCAGATGATGAGGATGGTTTATGGAGAGGGTTTCCTAAAGGCACAAATGCTTGGTAGAACGCCGCTGACACAACCGCGCTCGGTCGGTGTTTGGAGGGCAGCGGCCTCGCTGGATAAATTCAGTGCTGCACACTGATGAAAATCTAAGATGAGTTTAAGATCTCCTTGCTATTAACTCCTCAGAGGTAGAAAAGAGTCACAGAAGCAGCACAGAGGTAAATGCACAAATGCTTGGTAGAACACCACTGACACAACTGCGTGCAGTCAGTGTTTGGAGGGTGGCAGACTTGCTGGATAAATTCAGTGTTGCACACTGATGAAAAGCTAAGAGGAGTTTAAAATCTCCTTGCTATTAACTCCTCAGAAAAAAGCCACAGAAGCAGCAGCCTGTCCTAGACCTCTCACTGGTATTTTGGAAGATTTGACTGCGATTTTCACTTCCGTAGCTGCTGTTATCAGGGTGATGCAAGCAGTTCCTTTTTTCATAGAATCAAGGAATCACTGATGCTGGAAAAGACCTCTGAGATCATCAGGTCTGACCATTTTCACACAGGGCAGATAATTATTCACAATCTAAAGTTCTGCTGTCTTGCCCAACAAAAAAGTCTTGAGGTTTTGCATGGGAAAAGATGAAAACAGATTGATGATGTAGATTTTTACAATTTTTTTTTAAAGTATCTTTGAAGAAAAGGAGGGAAGTGAGATGGAAAACCTTCTTAGAACTAGTGTGCATTGAATAAAGATTAATTTACTTGTGTCAAAATCCAGGGAGGTGTTTCTGCTGCAATTCAGATTTTCCCCATCTTTCTTCCAACAGGATCGTCGAAACGCACGAAAAATTCACGAGGCAGCTGGACTTCCTTTCTTTGAAATCTTTGTAGATGCTCCTCTAAATATTTGTGAAAGCAGAGATGTGAAGGGCCTGTACAAAAAGGCAAGAGCTGGAGAGATCAAAGGTATGGAGGAATGAGATCTTATTTTGCCTTTTGCTTTCCAAAGCTTTGGATGCCTTGTCCTGGCAGTGCCATAATAGGGATGGGAGTCTAAAGGCCCTTTGTAGTGCACAAAAGGATCCTGTTCCCCTAATCTTACTGTCACAAGTGTCACTTGTACCCAGCATGGTTGAATGCCTCCTGGTTGTTTGTACAGTGTTCTTGGCTCTAAGGCACTGATTATTCTATTAAACAAATTTAATTTGGGGGTTAATTGTCCGTAGGATTCACGGGCATTGACTCCGAGTACGAGAAACCCGAAGCTCCCGAGCTGGTGCTGAAAACAAACGTTACATCGGTGTCTGAGTGCATCCAGCAGGTTGTGGAGCTCCTGCAGGCACAGGTGGGTCACTTTTGTGTCACCATCACTGGCAGCCTTGGAACCCAGCTTTGGGACACTGCCTTTTGGGTGTTCCCCTTAAAAACAGTGTGTTACAAGTGCTGCCTGTCTCTGTCTTTCAGAACATTGTGCCCCAGGGCTCAGTCAAGGATGTTCTGGAGCTCTTTGTGCCTGAGGATAAACTCAGCAGTGTCAGGGCTGAGGCAGAGAAGCTGCCAGCACTGGAGATCACTAAGGTATTGTCACACACAGCTTCTGACACTGTTTAGCTGTGGAAGCTTCCAGGGGGATGTTGCCAGAGGAGCCTGTGTTCTCCTGATGGCTCTGACCTTTTGTGGCTGTGGTTTATGGTGAGCTGAGGTGGGATCCTGGTCCTCAGCCATTTTCTGCCAGTCTCCTCTGCTGTGTTCATACAGCCCCACAGGTTCAAGCTGCCAGAGGGCAGGGTTTGCTGGGATATTGGCAGGCCCTGGCACAGGGTGCCCAGAGCAGCTGTGGCTGCCCCTGCATCCCTGGCAGTGCCCAAGGCCAGGCTGGACTTTGGGGCTTGGAGCAGCCTGGGATGGTGGAAGGTGTCCCTGCCCATGGCAGGGGTGACACTAGATGGGCTTTAAGGTCCCTTCCAACCCACACCAGTCTGGGATTCAACGTTATGCTGTGAAACTGTGTGAGTCTGGCTTTAAAAGCCCTGAGCTACATCCCCCATGTCTTTCTCCCCTTATGAACGTCCTGTATTTGAAGCAAAACAAAATGAAAATGCTGTTTCAGCAGAAGGGAAGGAAAAGCAACCTCTGAGTGTGACAGCAGTGTGACCCCATTGGGTTTGTTTTGCAGCTGGATCTGCAGTGGGTGCAGGTGCTGAGCGAAGGCTGGGCCACTCCTCTGACAGGATTCATGAGGGAGGCAGAGTACCTGCAAGTGCTGCACTTTGACACCCTGCTCAACGGTATGGATCCCCTGTGCCCTCCTGTCCTGCCTTGTGGCACACTCCTGAAGGTGGCCAGGTCACCCTGCTGTGGCCACAGCCCTGGCTCACAGCTCTGACATCTCTCGTGGTGCTGCTCAAACCTTCCAGGAGCTGTTGTGTGGCTCTGGTCGAGCTTGGCTGGACCAGGGTATAAATAGAGATGCACACCCAAGGCCAAGGAAGCAGGGAGGCTGCCAGGCTCAGCTGGAGGTGGGAGGAGAAGGCAGCTGCTCCTTGGAAACAGGAGCAGAGCCTGGTTTTGGCCCCCACCCCATTTCCCTGCTTCTTCAGGGGAGTAAATCTGATTTATCTCTGCATTAGCAGACTGCTAGAGGTGCTTGAAGTAAATCTGATTTATGTTAGCTTGAAGTAAATCTGATTTATCTCTGCATTAGCAGCCTGCTAGAGGTGCTTCATCCCTGGAAGAGGCAGAGAGGGCTCAGGTGATGCCCATCCACAGCTGGGACTGGGGCACAGATGTTTCCACCCCATTTCTCAGCTGTGGATGCTGTTGCTGGGACTTCACCTGTACATGGGGGGCTCACATTGGGGTTTGTAGAGCTGGCAGTGATCTCTGCAAAGGTGAGCAAGTCCCTTTGAGCCTTGCATGCCTTCTGGACAATCCTGTGTTCCCACAGGGCAGAGATTTGCTGCTGTTGCTGATATTTGGGCACAGAGGCAAAGCTCAGGAGTGCTCACTTTGCACTCTGGGAGTGTCTGTGAGTGGGGGCCCTGCTCCCAGACACACCATAGCCTTTCACCTCCTGCCCAGTGTGCAAACAGCACTCAGGAGCACATGTCCCTGTTATCAGAGCCTCCTCTGTGCTCTTTGAGCTGCTCTTGTGCCTGGGAAGGTCGCAGAGCGCCCTGGGATGGCCACGTTGCTCCAGAACCCTGTACTTTGTGCTCAGGCTCATCCCAGAGCAGATCTGGTTTTGGGGTGCCCCCCAAACCTCCCAAGATCCCTGAGCACATCTCTGAGCTCTGTGGGCAGGTGCTCAGGGTTTGTAGAGGAGCAGGGTTTGTGGGGAGCAGGGACAAAGGCCAGGAGAGAGAGCAGCTTTGCAGGGGATGAGCTCTGGGTAGCAGAGGGCAGCAGCCTCTGGAGATCCTGTCTCCACAGGGCTCTCCAAACTCAGCATCAGTGTGCTCAGGGTGACATCTGAGTGGGAGAGAGAGCACCAGCTGCTCCTGCAGAAGCTTTGGGAAGTGGTGGAGGGCTCCATCTCACTGGTGTGGCACTGCCCAGGAGAGGCTTGAGCCTGCTCTTCCCACAGCCATCGTGCCCTGGGCTGATGGTCTGGGCAGCTCCTGTGGGTTTTTGGGGACACTTGTTCAAGCTCAAATCCCTCCTGGGTGCCCCAGCAGGTGGGTGGTGTGCTTTGTGTAGGGCCACCAAGAAAAGGGTGGGCCTGCAGCAATGCACCAGCAGCCTGTGACACTGCCAGGAGGGGTGACAGTGACACTGGAGGTGCTGGATCACACTCAGTGTGAGGCTGTGGTAGGAGCATGGCCACGCCAGCAGGAGCCTTTAAGTGCTTTGAGTCTTGAAATGGTTTCTGTAATGTGCCCCTGAGTGTTAATTATCTTAATTATGTTTGTGTTCTCTCAGGAAAGAGGCGCTTGGGAGCTGGTATGTATGGAACTGTTCTCAGGCTCTGCACAAATTACCTCAATTGAGATTCTTTTTGACGATAATTTTTTTGAGATTTACCAAAAAAAAGCCCAACAAAACCTTGAAATTACAATGAAATTATTACAGCCATGGCCCATTTATGATCCAGGCAGTTCTGACACACCCCATGTCCCAGGGAGCAGTCTGCACAAAGATCCCAGTTGTGTAATTTTGTAATTATCTGCACTGGAGTGATCTTTTGTTACCTCTCCATCCTGCATTTGGAAATGGAGCCTGAAGATCTTCACTTTCAGCAGCATTTGTTGGTTTCATAATGCAGCTTTAATTTTTTTTTCCTGTGCTGGCTTCATTGACTGATCGTTATTAATATGATTTAAATGTATGAAGTTGATATTGATTGGATCCCATGTGAATATAATTATGATTATTCATTGGAATTGCTGCCTGGCAGATGAATGATACCCAGTCATGAATTTAAAGTAAATGCAAATATTTTCATAAAAATTAAACTAAAAATCTATATCATAGCCAAAATCATCAAATTAAGACTCTCAAGGATCCAACCTGATTTCAGTCAGATCAGAATGAATTGAATCAGTGATTTGTTTGTGTCTGGAAACCCATCAAAGAGACTGATTCTCCTGTATTAACACTGGAATATTGTTAATATCCAAATATCCAAGGAGGACCTCAGTGGAACACTGGGAAATTGGGAGGGCTGGGTTAAAACCAACATGATTTCAAGCTGTTTAGGGGCACCACTGAAATTAGAAACTAGGTGTGCACTTACAGACTCACACAGAAAACAGATTAAACAGTGCAGAGATGTAAAGGAGGAGTAGAAATATAGAGATAGCCAGGAAAAAACCCAAACAAGAAAAAAAAAAACAAATTAAACCTGAGTGTGGTGGGAGAGGCAGCCCAGGAGGTGTGCAGGGAATGGGGTGCTCCAGGGAACACCAGCCTGGAGCCATCCCCACAGAGGTGGTTCCCCTGGAGGAGAAGGCATTTTCCAAACACGTTGAAATTTTTCAATTTATCCAGGATTGCACTTTGCCAGCACATATAAATTTTTCACCTATACAAGGAGCTAACCAAGAAGAACCAGGGCAAAGGAGAGTGCAGGAACTAATGAGATGCTCCAGGTATCCTGGAGACACCTCTGGCCCTTAGATAAGAGCTTTGATATTCTGCTAACATCACCATTTATTAGCAGTGCAGAGGAAACTGCTGCAATGACTGATTTTCCATGAAAACCTCTGTTTCCTGTGCTCCCAGGGCTGCTTACAATTCTTGTCCACACAGGAGGGTGTTCAACTCTCCCCTTCAAGGGTTGTGAGCATTCCCACAGTGCTGCTGGTGTCCATGTGTCCTGGTTTATGGCAAAGTTGGGAGACAGCCTCCAAAGGGGTTCCTCTAGAAAGCAAATTCAAGCAGCCCCTCCTCCAGCTGGTTCAGGAAAATATTTCCTTGGAGAAAAGTGCAAAAAACCTGTTTATTTAGCAGGCAAACATACACCAGCACAAAAAATTATCAGTATTAAACAATAGAACCTCTCACTGTTCTGAAGAGATGGCAAACTCAGAAAGTCCTCTCTGTGGGCTGTGGCTTAGCTCACCCAGTCTCTTATCAGTCCCTTATCAGTCCCTCTGGTGCTGGAAATGCCATGCCACAGGCCCAGCCTGGTGGGCCACAGGTGGAGCTGCTGGTTCTCTTCTGGGTGTTCAGTCCAGAGCAGGTTCGAACAATTTCAAGAAAAGAAAAACCACAGTCCAGTGAAATTTTCTGCCTCAGCTGGCTAGAAACTAACTAAAAGCAAAGGAGAGCTCTGTCCTGCTGTCTGTCCGTGCTGCAGACAGCACAGTTGTGGCATTCACATTCTTTGATAAAATCCCTTCACCCAGGATTTTCTCCTGGGAAGCTGAGAGGCCTCAGAGAAAAGGAAAACAATTCTTGTTTCATTTGCTTCTCCTGTGTTGTGCTCACATGTGGAATGTGTTTGGAGATTGTTTACCCACAGGAGCTTGTTCCATTGGATTCTAGTGTGAGTTGTTTTGACTCTTTGGCCAATTGGGGTAAAGCTGTGTCGAGGCTCTGGAAAGAGTCACAAGCTTTCATTATTAGTTTTTGAGCATTCAGTAAGTGTCTTTTCTGTATTCTTTAGTGTAGTACTCTTTAATATAATATAGTATCATAAAGTAATAGATTAGCCTTCTGAGAACATGGAGTCAGATTCATCATGAATGATACCTGGGACATTCCCAGCAAATGCAATCACACAGTCAAGGAGCAGGATGCGGGGAGCAAGTGCACTTTGTGATAACAAACTCCACACTCCTTTTCTCCTCCCTTTGTTGTCAGAACAAATCTTAAAGGTGCAAAACCTATTTCTGGCCTAAACAGGGGATACAATTCAGGACCATAAAGCCATGCCAGGACACCCTACAGGACACATGGTGGCTGCAGGGTGCTGAGCCCTTTTCTGTGTCTCTGTGCAGATGAGTGGTGAACCTGAGCGTGCCCATCATGCTGCCCCTATCAGCAGAGGACAAGCACCAGCCTTTGCTTGGTTCAGGATGTCCCCAGCAGGCTGAAGGGCCTGGATAGTTCAGTCCTCTCCAGGACAGACTGTTCAAGTTCCCAAGCAGTTCTCAGCCACAGGCAACCTTAGCAAGCTT